AAATATCAAAACAGTACAATATCACTTACAAGTAACTGCAAAACACCTAGAAAAATGGTCAGCAAAAACAGGCTTCAGTTTTTCAATAGAAAAATCAAACTGCATAACATTTACTAGGAAATCAAATGTAGTGGAGCTTAACATTAAAATTGATAATAAAAATATACCCAACAAAAAATGCATAAAAATATTAGGTATCACATTTGATTCTAGGCTCACATGGTCGCCACACATAAAATCTTTGAAAATATCTACAAACAAAGCACTTAGATTGATAAAACTATTATCACACACAAATTGGGGTAGTGAAACGGAAACGTTGATCAAAATATTTAAATCAACAATACAAGCTAAACTATATTACGGTTCTTTTATATATAATTCAGCAAAAAACACATTAATGAAATATATTGATTCTAATCACAATTCAGGGATGCGAATGGCTATAGGGGCATTCAAAAGCAGCCCAATTAAAAGTATCTATAATATAGCGGGAGAACCAACGCCAGATCTCAAAAGAACAGAGCTGACTCTTATATATGCTGCGAGACTAACAAGATTAATAAATAACCCAGCATCAACTAACAACATAACCCTAGAACTAAAAAAAAATCAAAATTACACCAAGATTCCACAAATAATAACAAAAGAAAAAATAATTAACCCACCATGGATAAGCCTATATAAAATTAACACAGAATTGAATACCCTACCCAAGGAAAACACACCTCCACATATATATAAAAACCTTCTGAAAAATATCCTTGAGAACCAAAATGAATTCCAGGAATTATATACCGACGCCTCCAAAAGTGACAAAGGAGTAGGATTAGCCATAATAAAAAACAATTCACAGACATCATTCAAATTACCATCAACATGTTCCATATATACAGCCGAAGCACTTGCTATATTATTAGCCATAAAACACATAAACAAAAATGTAAACCAAAAATATTTTATTTTAAGTGACTCGTTAAGCGCGATAACTAGTATAAAAAATAAATTTAATCCTAGTGATCTAGCAACCCAAATTCAAAATAAACTAGTAGAAGCAAACCAAAAGAACAACAATATAATTATAATTTGGATACCTGGTCACATAGGAATAATAGGTAATGAAAAGGCAGATAAACAAGCAAAATTAGCTATCGGATCAATAAACTCACAGTTTATCAACATTGCTTCTTATTCTGATGTAAGAAAACAAATACAACAAGACACCATTCTAATGTGGCAAAAAGTATGGAACACACAAAACAACAAATTAAACCAAATTAAACAAACGGTCAAAAGATGGAGAAGAAACCCTAATATCTGCACCTCAGATGAAAAAAAACTAAATCGGGCCAGAATTGGTCACACGAGACTGACTCATGAATATTTAATGAATAAAGGCGACCCACCCTTATGCCAATCATGCGGTACCACAATTACAATCAAACACATCTTTGAAGAATGTAGAATGTACGAAAAACAAAGAGAGGATCTCAATATAAGCCATCAAATTGGAACTAGCCTAGGTCCAAATCCAGATAACGAAATCGACACCATTAAATTTTTTAAAGCAATTAAAATACTTAATTTACTTTAGTCAACACTTACAATGTACCAAATACCAAATAACTAATTCATAACTGTCTTATCTTAATTGTTAGTTTATTTTATTCTATTGTTCTTTTTTTTTTTTTCTCTCTACCTTCCATATTATAAATGTATGTAATTATGCTTATAATGCTATGCTAATGACCTAGCTGTCGAAGCAGAAATTGTAAATTTCAGGAACAATAAAAAAAAAAAAAAAAAAAAATAATATATTTTTAATTATTTCTAAGATCTAAGTGCACATAAAACAATGGGTATTTCTATTATTACTTGAAAAATATTATATTATTCTTTTCAATTAAACTATATAATTCACTTTTTTTTATTTATAAAGCACAAGTAAATGCATTTGAAACTGGTGTACAATAAGCTCATAAAAATCAAATAATGAAAAATACACATTTTTTAAACTATTGTTCTTTTAAAAAACATTATAAACAATTTCGTTTGTAATTGGATTTTTGGAGTACCTAACGCACAAACGTAATAATATTACTGTGTGTACATCGGATAGTTTTAGACTGTATAGCGTATATCGTATATGTCTTTTATAATCAAAATAAAGTTATTTTATTTATGTTTCGTAAATCTCAGTCATGAAAAATAAGTGTCTTCGGTACAATAAAAGTTTGGACAGCCACATATTATAACTGAATAAAGAGTATATAATCGATTTTCTGGAAAACGGATTGTTCTCGTTTTATTTTATTTGCGTAACCTTATGTATATGATTAATTTTTACATCCAATCAGTGATTAAAACGGATGGGTATACAGCGACAATTTTTATTCAACATAATATATTGTAATAATGAACACTTGTCACTTTGTGATCTCCCAATTATGTTTGATAAGTACTACCTATTATGCCTACATAATATTTACTTTGTTTTATAATTTTATGCGGGTAATATTCTTATAATAATAATATAATATCGTGTCGAAGCTCGTATAAAGTTTACCGCACTATAAATAATTATTCAAACTCGTAACGGTATTATGTGTCGGTGATACTGCGCGTATAGTTTATCGGTTAAAATAATATTGCCATAAAATGTACTGTACACCCACATGATACGTATTTTACGCCACCGTCGTTGTTTTAAACTATCTCGCTCGTACTAATAATAATATCATAACAGTCGTGGCTTCCTTTCGACTAGGATTTTATATGAAAATACAGGACGACAATCGTCCAGGTGGTCATATCGTCAAATTGAAATATTATACTAAAGATATATATAGGGAATAGGAGTATATTATATATAATTATTGAAATTTTGTTTGAACAATAATAACGAATTTGTATTAAACTGTATAAGCAGTGGTTGTCGGTTGAATTACATGACAAAAAAATAAGAAGGGTGTTGCAATTTTGGAGGGGGGCTGGAGAAATGGTCAAAATAAGGAGACACTGATAGCTCGGTAAATATTGGAGTGTGAATTTCGTGTGTAGGCGTGACAATTCACGTTAATTGAGTGCTAACTATAGACAAATAAATATATTTTATTTCTATCTTGGTGGGGGGGGGGGGGTTGAAACGTTTCAACAGCCCCCCCCCCCCCAAGTTTATTTTTTGATTATTTCTCATTAAATATTATTATTATGATAATAGTCTTGCCAATTCATGCTAACTTTTAGTGCAAAAAATCTGAGATTTCAATATTGGAGGGAGGGGGGCTGGTGAAACTGACGTTACAATATCTTATGATACACGACTTGAGTGAAAATAACGTGTAATATTTTAATAAATACATTTTATCATATATTCTATCTGGTATAAGACGTGTATAACGCGCGTTGGTGCTGGCTATTTATTTTAATATTATTATGATAAACATTAGTGTTTCGTTCTGTTGGTTCTGTCGGAGGAGTGATTTGATATTTTACGCGTTGATTTCTCGGAAACTCCATAGCGGAATCACCGTGTGGGAAGTCGGTGTAGCCACGGTGTCTAGCCAAATGATAATTGAATCATTTTCCAATTACCGTTCTTCCCCGTTCACCACCGGCACTGTATACTGCTGCAGTGTAGAACCCTCGGGTTACAACATGATGACAACCACGCCCACTTAGGGGGGACTCGCAGAGAACACTTGTGCCGGTGACGCCCATCTAATTAAGATTTTTCCAATCGTGTAATATATAATGTAATTCGGCGTCAACGGTGGCGGAGGGGGGGGGAGTGAATTTTCTATAAAAGTCGAAACAAATATAATATAACGCACTCTGCTGCAGTCTTACTATATGGGTACCTAATAGCTGGTGTGCTTGCTAGCTTTAGTGGTTTCGACACATCACGACGCAATCCCGAGACGTTTACACGCGCATGAATTATGGCCGACTCGTGCGTTTCACCCATGCAAACTCGGTGAATTTTTTTTATTCCCGCCAAAGGCGAAACGCTTGCAATATTAAAACAAACAGTGTACATATACGAACCGCGAGGGGAGCACGTAAAGCACAATGGACATTTCAATATTGAATGAGCACGTGTATACACACATACACACACACCACACAACACGATATGAACGGCGAACTGCTCATGGAATGGCCAACAATTCCTTTTGTATGAGGAGGGCCTGCGGTCAATTGTATATGGGTGAGGTAGGGTGGGGTGAGGGGGTGTGAGTGGAAACGAATAAAAAGGAGAAAAAAAAGGCAACCCATAATCCATATAAAATGTATATTGTATATATATATCTGTATTCACCCCACCCGTTAGCTATATATGCACAGTGGCTTTTGCCGTATATACGGTAGTTTTCTGACACGTCACGGGGGCAAAACACACACGGACAAAACGAAAGCCAATATAATATATAAAATATGCCGTCCATAAGGTAATACTGTATCGATTCGTTGTGTGTACTATAAGAAACGCGTATTATGTATAAATATTTCATTATTATGTCATCGCTGTTGTTTGTGAATTATTCGTGAGTCGTTCTCACGACAGGAAACCCTATTTAAACGTCGGCGGGGGGTAGGTACCTCAATGCAAGTATATAATATGCATATATACTAATATTTAGGGAAAACAAATATTATGTCGTGACAACAGCCACTTAAAGAAAATTATATATAAAGAGTTATACCGCATAAACAGTTTAAAAGCCATCGTGGCGGATGTATTATGTCATCGGAAATCTATTTTCCGTACACTGGGCGGCATCCAGTAGCTGGTTCTCGGAAATGCGGCTTCGAATCGATCGACAGGCAGGGACAATATAATATAGTTGTCATAGCACATATACCACCGATATCCCTTTAGGCTTAAACCGACAAATGGGGTGTTGTGCATTGCAGCTGTGGAAAGCAAACAATAATAATATAGGTTATGTGTAACAAATATGAAACTTACAATTTTTCTTTTCCTGCAGATTTTTGAGATGGCGCGTCAACAACAGTTCATGGCACTATGGTTGGTGTTCGCGGTCCTGGTGTACGACAACCACGGTTACGTGTCGAACCGGAGAGGGAAAAACCAGAGACCGGGCGTACGGAGCTATCCTGAAGATGACAAGAACGTTCGTGGCGGTGTCGGCGCCGATATAAACGTCTGCGCTCTCGAACAGAAGACCACCATCAACTTGTACTGTTACTGTGACGACTCGAAGTCGTTCGCGGCCACGTCGGCCGACTGTTGGGTGTTCAACGACGGCGAGCCTCGTGACTCGGCCGTCTGGCGCGAGTTTCGGTCACAGTCAAACGTGACAAAGCTGACGTTCAACGTGCGTGGCACCTCGTCCAAGACACTGTCGTTCGTGCCCACCGAGGCTCTGGCCCAGATGCCGGAGCTCCGCACGCTGGAGATCGTGTACGCCGACATCGGGACCGTGCATTCACACGCTTTTGCCAATCTGTCCCTATTGCAGGACCTCGCCCTGGTCCGGAATAACATCGTGCAGCTGGCTCGGGATTCGATCGCGTACATGAACGACCTGCGCGTGGTCACGCTCGGTGACAACGCCATCGAGAGCATCAGCAACGACGTGTTCGCCCGGCTGCCCGCTCTTCGGAAGCTGTACATGGACCGGAACAACATCAGCTACATTGCCGAGGGGGCTTTCGAGCAACTTCGAAAGCTCGAGGAGCTCGACCTGTCCGACAACAGGTTGACGGGATCGCTGTCCAGGTACGTGTTCCTCGGATTGGTGTCGGTAAAACGGCTGGACATGCGGGCGAACCACTTAGACAGGGTGGGCCCGGATGCATTCGCCGAGCTGGTGTGCCTTGAGGAGCTCGTGCTGGAGGACAACGTCATAAAGACGATTGACGGCAGGGGATTTTCCGGACTGCCCAGCCTCCAGCGGCTGATCTTGGCAGAAAACCGATTGACTGCCCTCGATGACCGTACTTTCCATAGTCTCGACAAGCTGAAGTTCATTGACATTAGATACAACAACCTGCAAACGCTCACGTTCGGCGCCGTGGAACCGATCTTGGAACGGCTCCGGAACACAACGTTCTTTTTCCATTTTAAAGGTTAGTGTCCGATCATTTGTTTTATAACATATATTTATCACAATTATGTGGGTTTCGATTTATTCCCAGTAAATATACATTATACAGGTTTCTGTTCGAACCAATTAATATGGATTTTGTAGTAAGGTTCCAACATAGTTATGATATGCAGCTGATGATAACATAATCTATGTCAAAGTTTAATGTTGTAAATACACAAATAGGGGTTCCAACAATATCCAACATTGTCCCCAAAGAGTTTATATAATATTACGATGTCCACTGAATTTTTAGGATGGTTTAAGACGATCGTTAATAAGTTAGGAAACACAATATCAGTCACCCATATTAGTATTCAAAGATATTTTATTATAGCTATAGGAATATAGTGACGATTTCATGCATCTCCGAGATGCGACAATATTGCTAAAAACTTATTGTATTTAAATGTTGCCTATAATTATGTGTATAGGTATTACTCACCTATACAAATATATATAAATTTTTTTTTGAGTTAAGGCTTTTCCAACATGAGATCATTAAACCTGCAGGTCATTTTTAATCAGTTTTTACTGTGGTGGGTTGGAACACGTGATTATGTGGTGAGGATTTGTCACTGAAAATCCGAGTGGTCACCCATCCGAGAGTTAGCAACACCAGCTGATGCGTGACCTCAGAACACGTTAGTGACTTACGCTACACCAGACAATTACCTATAAATATTGTATATATTTTGAAATTCCAAGTAAAACCTTGTTATTAGTCACGTAACATATTGTTGCTCTCAGTGCGAAATTTCATAGACTAAGTGACCCACCTTCTATACGCCGACTCAAGAGCGGACACCCACACGATCTATTGTTATAGTTATTATTTATTTCATTTTCATTTTCTTCTGATTTGTAAATACTTTAATACGTAGCCAATAGTATCTTTTATTTCTAATTGTTATCTATTTTTCAAATGTTAAAAAATTTATTTAATTAACAATAAGTTAAGATGACATAAGTCAGTGTAACTTTATTTAATAAAAAAAAATATGTTGTGAATATTAAGTATTACTGTACATTATCATCACATCGTTTTATATGTATATACATATTAAATTATACCTACCATTATAGTCATGTTATGATTCCATAATATATAATTCACTTATAAGTACTAGATCTGCAATATCATTGTGGCCGACAATGATGTACAACCTAATGGTAATTATTAATTATAACAAATATGATACAAATAATAATAATAATAATTGTTCAATTTGAAATCTGTCGAGGAGTTGATAATTGGTCCGAATAAGTCTATATTTATGTAAGTATACCAATAATATTGTACAGAATATTTAAGATAAAATATTTTCAGTTGATTATATTTTTAATTAATACGTATTATATAGACGTTGAAGAGGCATTTCATTAAACGACGTTCGATGGATAATATATCTTTAATTCAAAAGCAATCGATTTTCATTAAACGATTTAAATTTAATTACATTGGATTCAGTGGAATAATTTATTATTCGGAATTAGAAATATGGAGTCCACATGATATTTTTCAAGTCGTAATTTATTATTTTAAGCTGATAATTATAAATATAATAACAACATAATATAACTTACAACAAAATAATTATTTTTTCTCCCGTTTTAAAACCTTTAATTTTCAGATAGATTTTCACAATATATTATAGTCATAAAGAGTATTATCTATAATTTAATTAAGTTCTCATCAATTTTTATTATTAATTATTACTTTGATTTATTATTGCTATAATTTTAATTGATACATTTAATTGTGACTATACTGTAGAAATCAGAGTGAAAAACTCTCTTTAAAGAACCATCTGAGTTTATATTTTATAACCAATTGAGGAGTTGTACGAAACTTTTATTGCTCCAAAAAGTGTTTTTCATATATTATATACTCTTATAAACCGATTACGTCTATTGGTAAAAATTTAAAATGCAAAATCTGTTATCTAGTTATTTAATAATATATTTATTTTTCAATAGACCATATTGATTAGTGAAATCGTTTTGTATGTTTCGTTTAGATTGTACGAGGTGTGTTCAGTAAATACATAGACAAAATGTATTGTAAATTATTTAGTTTGTTAAATCTTAAAGTTTCATTGGTTGAACTATTCCAAAATAGTATTAAATAACCAAAAACAAAATGTAAACGTTACTTTATTTAGTTCAATAATATTGTATTTTGAAGAAAAATATTATAAAAATAATATATTAAATTGTAGCATTTTAATAATGACATTTTGAAAATAAATCATAATTGTAAAACCTAATCCTTTATAAAAAAAAAAATTCAGTATGTTAGTTATTTATAAAACGTAATTAAATTTGGTTAATAAACTCTATAGTCATACTGAAATAATAAAGCCTAATAATATTTCGAAATTAAGTTGGATTAACGATGCTGTAGAGAATAGTGTCTTTCGTTTATTTTAAAAACTTATCAATTCAATTTAAGAATTCGAATTTCAGAGGTCGTTAGGTACATTATTATCATTATATTAAAAAATATATATTTTTTTGTTTTCGACAACTTCTACAGAAGAAATAAAATAATCTGCTTTACTGGAAATTATAATATTATAAATATATATTATAGATTACTGTTTGAATTATAAGTAATGCAATGCAATGTTGTAATACTTATTATTCGATTACCTACATAAAAACCAGTGGTGGAGTATAACATTAAATTATTAATCTGCTGTATTATTTACGGATTACGAAAAAAAAAACTCAAAAATACAAAAATTTAAATGGATCGTCATTAAGCTGATTCATTTTGTCATCAATATTTATCATGTTTGAAGCCTTATTCGACTTATTCCAGCCATCCGTCATTAGGCCACTTGCAAAAAAAAAAAGGTATGTTAGAGCGCATAAAAAACCAAAGGTTGTTCGTTGATGTCCTGTATTAAATGCCATTACAGAATGATTATGCTGATTAGGAACTACCGTAAAGAACAAACGATGCGCGGCTTGTATTTAAACGAGAGTCTAAATAATTGTACGTTGCCAGCTACCCCTAGTAGGGTTATAATTTTTCTAACAATTCGTTACAGATTGAGACACATGCGGGATGAGAAAAATAAGTATTTCGTTAGAAATCTCGTCTCATTTAAATTCCGAACGATCCTCCCGGGTTTTCCAAAGCCCCTTTAAGCATAAAGGAAAAATGTATAAGAAGATTCGTTTGCGTGATATAATCTTTAAGGAAAACGATGTATAAACTAAAAAAAAAAGCAAAGGATTTTTTCTTCTCTATTTCACCGTGCAATATCTTTTTAAAAGATAACCGATTTGGCAGTGATCTTTTCGTTTATGTCTTTGTCCATTTCGCATTTATTTTCTTTCCTTATACATACTGCACCAGCTCTCTCGTGTGCCGCTCGGGAATGTGTGCGAGTGACAGCCGGCGTGCCCATGCAACAAATGAACATACTGATTAGGCGACCTTTGCGCTGACAAAAACCGGGTGATTGCACCCTCACTTCGCCTTTCACCCTCACCAACACTGTATCCACACTATATCCTTTCTCAGGACTTTCCTTTTTCATTTCCGTCGCTAGCTCTGCAGTGGCCTTTCTTGCTGCTCTCCGCTACACGTGGATCTTTTGAACATCCGTCACGCTGTCGGTCAAGGCTTTTATTGTATCCATTATTTGACCAAAAAGCACTCTAATTTACATTTACTTACTACAGACATCAGCCACGGATCGATCGATTCCTTGTGGCATCTGGATCTATTAATAAATTGCAAATGTCCACGGTGATTCCACTTTACCTGTGGACCACGGTTTAATAAGTATTTGTACGGTAAACTAGCTCGGCTGTTCAATTACCCGTGCAATACGCTGTGGTTTTCATTGATTGCGTTCAGGTCAGACCTGGTTATAGGTTGAGAATCACTTTTTTAAACTGATCATAGTTTTAAGTAGGTGGGTACTGGTTAGGTTGGACTAACCATTATGGATACTGACCGTGTGGGTCAAGTTCATATGGCCATGAATTATTCTATAAATAATAATGTACAAAGTTTTATATTGGGCGGAAACCAATAATAAATATGCAGTTTTTTATTTATCACATATTCACATCTAAGATTAATAATACTATGAGCTATCATCAAATATAATGATTTATTCTTTATAAAATATTATACTAAAATAATAAATAATACTATTTTACTTTCTGCAGTTGTACCGATAGGTACGTGGTGAAGTGATATTATTTTATTACTTTTTAATTTTTACTATATGTATATAGCTTCCTTATTAAAATATAATTTGGTGTACCTATATATACCAAGTGGTGATGTGGTTCATTCGAAATTATATAATTCGTCTGTAACAGTGTAACGTACTAAAATGAAAAAACTATAAAATTCTTTATTCACATAATAATATTATTATTTCATTGTGAATCTACGACGATTTTTATTTTATCTACAAACAAATACAATAATTTAATGGTAACATGTAACTAGACGGTCACTCTAATTGAATATTCGTTGTTAGTTGGCCATGGAATACATATTATAGTTGGAACTATCCAATTATACATTTTGTACATTATTAAAATATTTTCAATATAAAATGTTAGTTTACGAAAGGAAAAAAAATGTTCAATTTAAAACAATATTTGATGTACAAATAACAATATAATAATTGAGTTTTAAATTTAACTACAATTTAGACTTCAAAATGGCACCTATAATTTGCTACGTTTGATGTATGCAATGTAACCGATATATCCATTAATTATTCTTATGTGCATATTCGGTATTTACAATACCCAAAACTTAAAGGGGTAATCCAATATTGGCTGTATTAAATAATCAGTTAATAATGTCCCATCGATGTACTTAAATCGGCAATTTCAAAGAGTTACATTGCACGTTAGTTTAAAAGGGACATATTGCTATTTATATTATACCAAAAGGGTTATAATAGTTCTGAAAGTTATTTTACTGTACAAAACTTTTGTCATACAAAACTAATGATGTAAAGTTTAACGATTTAAATTTTTATTTACATGGGTATAGGCCGCACGCAGTTTTTATAAAATCGAAACTTTTTGAATTTCAAATAAAATTATAAAAAAAATGTATAATATGCTCAAGACCTTTTTATTTCACTATTAATACTCCATTTAAAAGCTTATGAATTCTGTTTTTTTTTTTAACGATGGTAATTCAAAATAAAATGAAATCTAATGTCGTTTATTACATTTTTTGTATTCAGACTCATTGTAATATTATACTAGTTTTTGCATAAATGTATCACTTTTGGTTTTATTATTAGTATACTAATAATACTATAGTACCTACCTACGCTCTACGCCAATAATTGGATTTGTGTGTATCGATTATAAAATTAAAATACGTCGATAACGTTGAGTATATTTTCCTAAGACCATAAGCCCACTCAAATATTTGTCTTTGGCTACATCCGGTGAGCAAAAACGGATTTCGTTTGTTTAAACGTTATCGATGATTACTGTAAACACTGCTAATTGTTTATTCGCTGACATTCCTAGCTGTTTGTCGACGCAACAAAGGACCTATTGATTAGTAGATAATTTATAGAGCTTTAGCGGATGAATGATGATGCACAGTTATTTTAGTCTCTGTTGAGTATATATATTATATATCGTATGATTATACGATTTTTGGTTCGGACCGAGAGCATAATATATGCAAATATTTTTGCATAATTACAAGAAATAATCCACGTGATATCTGAACGCGTGTGGACACAAGACGTATTATGACATTAAACATATAATACGATATAGTGTTATAGAAAATAAAATTAGGGATATAATTATACCTAATAAAATATTAATATAGACGTGCGGGTATTCGTGTAGTATGGTATTGTATATTATTATTTTAATGCTATAAACACGAATGTTTACGTTGTATAATTTACAATTTTTTTTTATTCTAATATTGTGTGTATAGGTAGGCTATAATAGAGCGTGAGTTATTGAAAAACAAAATCAAATACATTTAAATTATGCAGTGGGTTGATTATACACGACGAGTGCAAAACATTGCACCAGCTATATACATATCGTGGTTATAACGTATTATATAGGTTCAACAAAAACACACAATATAATGACAAAAACTTAAACTGAAACTCAATATTATGTTGCAGTGAAGAGTTGTTAACGAATTTCACATGTCCATTATTGTATTGTCTGTAAAATATGTACGTGACTTGTTTTGTTCGAAATTCAGAGGTAGATATTGTGTCATCCCTAGACACAATTCCCAAATGTATGACATGATAATAGTATAATAATGAATAGACAATATTTACATAGTATGTTAGTATCTAATCATCAATATGCATTTTAGATTCTGAGTGGAAAGATGAATGTATTGATTTTACAATGATGTGTGTTTTTTATTTTTGTGTCTGTAATATTGCTTCGATTTTCAACTTCAGTATCTTGTTCGATTGGAGAGTCAATATCATTGATTCATTGAGGAGGTCAAAACCAGATTTTTTCGTCAAAGCCATTTTTTCCGGAAATGTTAAATGAAACCAAATTTTCCCAATTTAAACATTTTTTTTCGGAAATTTTGATCCCTAGTTTTGAAGTTTGTATTAAAGAGCACCTATTGAATAGTTATATATTTAAACAGTCTTACTGTTGTACATTGTGCAGTGTCGGAAATCCTCGGAATTATTGTATTAGTTTAATATTAGTGTTTTCATAACAAAAGAGGTTTTAAAACCGTGTAATACCTACGTGAAGTCGGTGATAGATAATCAAGCGTTCCAGTTTATTGTACTTTTGATTCACAGTTAATACAATAATTTTATTATCATTGTAAAATAATATTTCTATTATAATTATTGGAAATGAGATCAATTAAAAATATGCTACATTGAACTTCGCTATCGTCGTTTTTTATTTTAATGTAGAATTAATATTATAATATTATAGCTGGAAATAATAATTTAATTTGACAAAATTATTAGTCTTTTGCTGTATATTATCGATAAATATACGTTCATTAATATTTTAATTTTGACTTAATAGTTAACGAGGAACAGTTAACGCCCAATGTCATACATCCTAAAATCATATATTAAGAGGTATTATAATATATGCCCCATAAACATTTTATTGTTTGTTGGTAACATTGAAATAAAGATTTTAATACTTAGTTTTTATGGATTTAATAAAATACTATGTGTGTTAAATGTTACAAAACGTATATTATACCGATTAAATAGCTATAAGCATTATACGTAAATTAAACATAGTTAACTGAGCATTTTCACATGTGGATCATATTTGCGAGTTTAATGTAACATATATTTTTGATTTATGAAACTCGTAGAAATATTATTTTGTAGTAAAACCGTTTAAAAATAGATTTCATCACATGGATAGTGTTCAGAGTTGGTGGTCAGATGACTATTTTGTGGAGAGAGACCCGGTTTCATTAAAAGGTTGCCACTGCCACCACCACGACCACCAGCGCCACCACAAACACCAATATTATATTATAGAGTTGAAAAATCCTTATTTCTTTTTGTTCGTGAAATTTACTCCAAGCCGGAAATTGATATAAAGTTGGACTGTAACATGCGATATGGAAAAAAAATATAATACTATTAATATAACATTGACTCGATTTTTACAATAACTGTGTGAATAAAATAGCAAAGGTTTTTTTTTGTAGAAGTTTAAAAATTGTTATTATTTTTAAAATAAAATCCATCAGAATCGTCTGCAATCACGATTATAGTTATTACTTTTGTGCGTGTTATAAAACCCGAGTTTCATGTTCATATAGGTATTGTACATGTGATGGTCATGAGTGAGATTTTCGATGGAAATATAACGTATTATAATGTGGGTGTAATTTATTGTAATCTTAGCCATTGATTGTTAGACAAATTTAGTAAGATAATATTGTGTACCACTACCAGACAGTTTCTTTCAAATAATCACAAATTTTCAAACTTAATTATCTATCTAAATATGCTGAAACACTTAAATTGTGAACGTCGTGACTAAACAAATTATTTTTATTACATTTTGATACGCTATTCGTTTTTTTTTTTTTTTTTTACAGACAGAATAAATGGATCATATAATATGATATAATTTAATATAATTATAGCATGAGAGTACCTCTATTCAGATTACCATTTTTTATTCTATTATTTCATAAAATATAAACTAATTTTATTATTGGTTTTATTTTTACAATTTTAGTAAAATAATATACCATACATTATACCTATTGTTATTCTAATTTCGTATATGCTAACACACCTGGAATAAACTATTATTGGTGTAATAACTAAAGAAACTATAGTAACATTTGTAACAACTACCAAACTTTAAGTAGGTACCTACTACATATATCTAATATTCCTAGGTTTAAATTTTACTGTAAATTTATTTTATTTTTTTATTTATTTGTTAAGTGAATCATGTGTTATGTATATGTGATTTTTATATATAAAAGTACAATGGGTAAACTTAAAAGTATCGTTACAGTATAGTTTTTGAAAAAAGTGAT